GACAGTCCACATTACAATTTATATAATGATAATTTATATAATTTTATTTCAATCAAAATGTTTAAATGTCTTCCAAGAACAGATTTTGGAGGAAAAGGAGAGCTGCATTCTGATACATGAAATTCTATTTAATACTCAGCCCTCTGAAAAAAAAGCCACCTTTTTGGCATGGTCACTACTCTGCCTTGACTGAAGGAAAGCCCATCAGCTCTCCTTCCCTAAAACAGGGAAATGCCACCTCTTCACATCACATGAGCACTGTGCAGAGAAACGAATTAAAGTCTGCTTAGCATGTGAATACCAGTGCAATGAGTAAGATAAAAAAGAGCCAAAGGAAATAAAGTAGTCCTGTCTCCAGAAGAGAATTTGAACTGAGTGAAGAGCGGTATATCTGTCTTATTAATTGAGTACTGAAACTTAGAAAGTAAATAAAATTGAGTCCCCACCACTGTAAGCAGAGACATTATCAAAAAGTACAAAAGGGGGGGAATTGACATTAAAAGGGGAGAATCTAAGATTACACACAGAGCCTTAATATTGAAGTTACCTGACTCTGAGCACATGACCTAGCATCCCTTATAATATTATTTGAACATAATTTTTCATGTGTAATTATTTATAAAGCTCCAGACAGTAGGTGTGCACGATGCTTTATAGGTGTTTAAAATTGTCTGATCCCTGCCCCTAGGAGCTTGCGTGATGACACCACACAAGGGATGGGAAAAGAAGGGGTATGGGAGGACAGGGTTGCAACACTGTGAGATCATGAGATGTACTTAGTGCTACATAAGCAACATTTCAGCTTCTCTGTGGTTTTCTTGTTACTCATTTAACACTATATATTAAAATTTGGTGAACAGATACATAACACAAAGACATCAACCAAAAGAAAGGATATGAATAAAGAGAACTATGTAGTACAATGTTCAGACTCAGCAGTTAATATTAAAACATTCACAGGCAAACGTTGCATGTAGTCAATTATTTATATGGGTTTAGCCCTTGGCACCTCCAGCTGAGGTCTGGATTCTCCTCCACCAGGCACTGTACAAATGTATCGTGAGATATGATAGCTGTGTTATGGTTTTTACTGTTAAAAAACCAGTCAGTGTCAGAAGGGGATCTCACAGATCCCTCTTCTTGGCGGAGGGACCAAGATGGTTTCACAGGTTAGAGGCAGAGCTGAGAGTAGAATTAGGGTGTTTTGACATTTGTTTTGATATTCTAATTGCTAATTAGTATGTGTATTTGGATTACGATTGCTTGAAAAAGAATCCCCAAACCGAACCAAACAAAAAAGAGTGCATTTGCAAGTCGCTACCATGAACAGAAAATTAAAACCTTTGAGGAAAGACCCCAGCTTGGAAACCCTGGAATCTATGTACCTTTTAGAAATTTCTGTTTCTGTGCTCTGGGAACTGAAGTAGATTGGAACTCTGCTGTGCTGTCATATTTGTTTGTGCAAAGCCCGTGGTTGGTGTAATTTCTGACCTGGCCACAATCTTACCCTGCTGTGAGCTGACAAACATATCCCATGTCAGAAACTGTACCCTTAAATGCTCACAAGTTTCCTTGACTTCAGCAGCAGATGAAGACCCTGCTGTGATATTCTAGTGCTATCAGGCATTACAGCCCCAGAGAGACCACCTAGGACATCCAGTAAACAACTCCAGAAACCCTGAGAAAAATTAATTAAAAAAACCCCCATACAACTAATTAAAGGAAGCAACATGGCAAAATATTCTTGATCTCCTGGAGCACAGGCTAATTCTGGAGCAAACCCAGGTAAGAACTGTGGACTGATTCTGCTCTTCATTGCATTTCTTCACAATGGATGGACAAAATACTACCTGGACTTTTTTTACAGCCCTTCACACTCCAAATATAATTTGCTTCCACTTTAAGGGTACTTTTTACAATCCACGGAGTAGAAAATTATTTTAGTATATAGCACTATTAATCCTTAGGAATTTGTTATTTCACGGATGAAAAGCCCAATTTTTAGTCAGCTTTAGAATTTAAAATGACAAACTAAATGTTTCCATTATTCTTATTAACCTTTTTTTTTCCCCCAAGACTTAGCCAAATTAGTCACTAAATAAAATTTCTGGCTTCAGTATAGCTCAGACTCAAGGAGAACTCAGTCTCACTGCTTCTAACCCTTACTACTTTACAGTAGCAACACATTTTTCAAATTTCTCTGTTCTTCTCTTCCTTTTAGAATTGAGTTTAGATCACTGGTGTACACAGTAGAAGATAGAAAGGAATGAGTGAACTCTGTGTAAAATTTTCATTTATATTTTGTAGCTTATGAAATGTAATTATAACTCTGTATAGCTTCATATTAGTTGTTCACATGAAGTGCATTTTGACTTATTTCAGAGATTTAAGAGGCTGGCTTGGTCCTGAAAGTATTCATCAAAGAACTATGTAGGATTTCTGAGTTCCCAACACATTCTACTAGTGGGGTGGCAGCTGTTCTGACAGTGAAAATGGAAATTGATGTACTCCAAATTTGGTTGTACTCAAAATTGTACTAAGAATGGATTTATATCTGATTAAAACAAGAATTTCATGCAAATAGTTTTTAAAACCTACTTTTTTACCCTTTCCTTTACACTTAGGAAGTGGCTTTTAAAAACTTAGCAGCTTGACCTCAAAAGGGTTTAGAGTAGTACAATTTTTAAAGCTGTTTTGTTTACGAAGATAGGTTATGAGTGGAATTGGATTTGCCTTCAAATATTACTGGCACATTCAGAGCATAACATTTTAAAAGATATCACTCTTAGCATCACTGTTGTGTCAGTCTAAGTGGTTGCTGACATAAGATTAAAATACATCACAAATGTTAAGTTTTTGCTATATCCCTAAGCTGATCTGGAGCAATTTTGCTGTCCCTAAAAAATAAATAGCATTTATGTAAAATAACTGCATTCCCCAAACAACAACAACTTTCCCATTTCAGTCCCAAAACACTGTTTTTAAATTACAGATATATTAGATAAATACAGAATATTTAGAATTATAAACATACAGAAAAAAAAAAGCAAGCTGGAAGGCTAGCCCAATTTCCTGCCCCAAGCAGGGCTAATTTCAAAGCCAGAACAGTGCCCCAGCCCCCTCAGTGGCTCTCCATTGGACCCTGTCCAGTTTTCCAGTCTCTCTCTTGAACTGGGGGCCCAAGACAGGACACTGCAGCACCTTCCTGACTGCAATGGGCAGTGCAGCACCCTATCCTTCCAGCTTCCACTCCTTTGGCTCAGCAAGACCCCTGGACTCAAGTCCTGCAGGACAGCTTATGAAACATCCCACTGTCTCTTCTCTGTGCACTCTTTCCATCTAGTAAAAATTGTGTGTGTTTGTGCAGCAGAGGTAAATCCAAATGCCATGAACAGAATGCGTATCTTTGGCTGAGGTGAACGATGAAGGGAATACTGACTGTCAAGAGGGAGTGTGCCACAATGACCTGTGGTTAATCTTTTATTTGATCAAAAAACCAGAAAAAGTTCCCCCCAAACTGTAGCTGATTAGTATTGTTATTGCAGGGCTTTGCTTTGATGCCCTTGGTCAACAAAATGCTAACTTCTTCGTCCCACACTGAACATGCATGTGTGTTTTTCAAGAAAATCCCTTTAGATCCTGCATTTTGAAGAAAGTTGGGATAGCATATTTACCTCAAAAGGACCAATCCAAGTCTACTGAAATTAATGGGTTGCTTTTTTGGATCAGGTCTGGAATGTTAATTGCAGTTACTATACCAACCTATCTAATCCTTCCAATAGAATCTGCATGAGGACCTAAGATGCTGCAAAAGGAAAAATCACAAGAAAAATGTAGTGTTGAGCAAGTATCTAAGTGAGGCTTGACCGTGTCCCCATTGATACTGATGGATAAAGAAAAACACCAAGATCATTCCAGTAGGTTAAATACTGACTTTGGTCTAATTTATCCCTAAGTTATCACCCACTGCATGATCCAAGATGAAGTTCTCACTCAGAAATGTGTGGATGGAAATAGCTAGGTCATGATACATGCTTTTATGAAGAGGGTACAGATTAGCAGCTGAATGGAAAGAGACCAGAAAGCACAGACTTTGTGTCAACTGAGAATTCAGAGGAATTTCTGGCCCCTGTCCCATGACTCTGCAGCATCATACAGAGCAGATCCCTGTCAGTATTACCAGGCCACCCTCCTTGCTGGAGGCACAGCTTCCTATTTGGCCAGTTTGTATTTGCAAAGTCCTATAAATTTTGGTTTCCCTTTGCAGTCCTGCCACCAACTATGTGAGTTTTGGCAAACAAACAGTGTCAGAGTCATTTGTGCTTGAAGGCAGTTTCTAGTTAAACTCCAGGTTCTTGTATTTTCTTGCAAAAACTGCAGAAAAATGTTTGTTTATGGTAAAAAAAAAAAAAAAAAAAGGGAAAAGAAGGAAATATGTGGAAAAAACCCCACCCCAAAGNAGGGAAAAGAAGGAAATATGTGGAAAAAACCCCACCCCAAAGTAAAACACCAGTGGAGGTTAGCATTAGGTGAACAGATATATATATATATATATATGCAAATATTTCCAAACCAATCTCCAAAGTTCACTGCATATAGTCCTTTTCCACCTGGCTTTCGATGACTTGAATTTTCCATTATATGATCTGCATGTCATTTTTCCAGATCAATATACCGTAACATTTTTTAAAAACTTCAGGGGCTATCAGAAGTACAAAATAAACCAAACTGTAACAGAATTATTTCAGACTCCTTGAAGAAATCAACTCTGGAGGGCAGCGGTCTTTTGCAAGAAATGTAACTACAAGTTCAAACAAAAAAGTGACCTTTGCCTGTTGCTACAAGTATGTTGCTCGAGGGGATTTGGCAGTGAGCTTTTCACTGGGAGGAGTCACTTGGCATTGGTACTGGTTTATGAAAGAGCAGAAGACAGTATAAGTTGGTTTTCTTAAACGAGTCCCTAGCAGGAGGACAAGTGCTGGTGGCAAGTGAATATTTACCTCGGTGGAGCGCTGTCGGGTCCCACGCTGTCGCAGCGAGCGTTCTGGACGGGACACGTCTCCGTGCCACACGCTGCCTCAGCTGGGTCCATGTAGCCATTGACCAGCTTGATGTCTCTCAGCTTCACACTGTCATTTTGTGAATCCAGAGACACAATGTCAGACGGGGAGCTCAAAACACCCGAGTCCTCCGTGGTGTCCTCTGATGCAAAACAGCTGCTTTCCGACGCTGTTTCTTCCACCTCCGAGAGCTCCAGAACCGTGTCATCCACTACATAAACATTATCATGTGCAGACAGCAGGCTCTCTAAATGAAATATAACAAGGAAAGTTAGCTGGAAGTCATCAGTACGTAAATCAGAGCGCTGTGCCTTTGTAATTGGAAAAACCCACATGAAATGTATTAGAAATGTGAGGGAGGGCGCTCATGATTTGAAAAGTGACAAAAATTATCTCCTTTGTTTTTAGAGACGTGGTTTGCTATGTTGGTCCTATGGGGTTTGGGTCTTAGAACTTCCAATACAAATCAGTTTCCTTAATTCTCTGAAGAAACTATTTTCCAGAGAGTTTCTTGAGGAATTAGACTGAAGTTTAAATAATGTGGTTCAAGAAATCACTCCTGTTACTCCTTATGGCAACATTATCTCATTATTTCTCTTCTATTCTATGCCAAACAGATGACATTTCCAATAAGAAGTCAATGTACAGGTAAAAAAGGGCAGCATTCCCTAGTCAGGACACTTAATTGGTAAACTAGATCTACTGCTGGCCCAGTGGGTGTCACTGATTTTATCACTCTTCAATTTTTTTATTTTTCAAAGCATACAAAAATCTCCTAATAAGTGTACAGAAAAGTAGACAGTACCATACTAAAGTAGAAACTCTTCCAATGTTTAGTTATTTATAAAGGAGATCAAGGGATATACCCTTTGCATGTTTCATTCTATGAAAAGCTGCAAATTTTGAGATCAGACACAGTATAATTTTTTGTACCCTGTTTTAGTTTGGTTCCTATGAGCTACCCCTTTTTGTGTTTTTTGGTAAAAAACAATTTTCTCTTAAGAAATGTACTCAATTTCATTTGCAATTATGCCATTAATGGAGAGCTCCCAACCAGGTCAATAATTTCAACGACTGAAATTACTGAGTGATGGAACACAGAATCAAGCCCAAACACTCTTCTCCTGATCAAAAGGAATCAATAAAGACTAATCTAAATGTTTAATTTGGAATTATAAGTGTGCTCCATTCTCTTCTTGAACCTCAGTAAGCAACAGGAAGATTAAACAACAGTTTATGGTCTGATCTTCCAGACACTTGTGGTGGATGGTAATTACATGAGAAGTCCCAGGTCTGCAAATGTGACTAAGATTAAACATACACTTCACTGTATTTTAGGCTCAGAATCAACAACTTTTTGAAGAATACAGGAAGCTATAGCTCAATAAAAATGAACAACAGAGAGAAATACTTCTGAAGTATGCTGTATACTCAAAAGTATTTTCTTTAAGTCACCGACCTGAAAACAACTTTGTTAAAGAATGTCACAGAAATAATTTTGTCAGAGTATAGCTTAGCAGTGAAGCTTCATGTAAAAGGAGAATAAAAATCAAGCCAACATTCTCCTTGACTGAGGTTACAAGATGCCATTAAGTACTGAAATTGATTTCCGACAGTAGAAGCAATAAAATTCAGAGGGTTACAAATCATGATTAAACTTTTAAGTGCTGTCAAGCATTGATATTAATGATGGAAGATGATCCAAAGACTCTATTGCAACTTTGGTAGCAATGTTACTTGATTTCTTTGACCTTATTTTCTGTAACATTAGTTCTAGATTCTGCGTTTAGTCTCAGAGATTGTTCCATTTTAAAATGGTAATTACAGCAACAAAGTATGTGCCACTGAATGGATTTGAGTATGCTTATCATAGAACTACAGTTAGGAAAACACCAACATGAAGGATAAATATGAATAGTTTGACATTGAACATCAAATGATAAAACCCCACAAAAAACTGACAATGAACAAACAGGTACAAGTATGTGGCTTATTGGCTTTTAGACAAAAAAGCGCCCAGTAACAAACATTAATAAAAGTTACAATATGTTAAAACCAGGACAAAGTAGGGTAACAAAGAAATCAATTTATAGAGTGGAAGTTGAAGAGCACACAGGAAGATTTTGAAGTAATGCACAATGCAGTATATATACTTGATGCAAAGAGACTTCTTTGTAATACATGACAAATCTATTGTCACATGGATGCCATAAATGACCTCCACCCTGTAGTTGGCGCAGCAATTTATAGCCAAGTACCTACTTCCAGATCCTGACATGAGTGGGGCAGCCTTTCCCTCCCTCGCTGTCTTTCACATTTCCTCATCCTCTTCTTGCCTGCCTGCAACTATTTCCTGCATCTTTCTGCTCAGGGATTTAGATCCTTTTGGTCACAGAGCCCTACTTGCCTACTGCAGTAATAACAACACTCAAGTCTCTCTCTGCTCTGCAGCAGGATCCCTAACCCCAGCCCACTGTTCCCACATGTTGACAAACAAAAGGAAAACCAGTCTCTTATTATCAGAGTCCATGGGTGAATTGATCCCTGTTACGTCTGGATCTTGGCAGCTGAATCACCCAGGCCAGGATAAGAACTTCCTCATTTAACACCAGTCTTATCCTGAAGCATGGAAATACAAATAGACATCTTTCTACTCAATTATTAAATACCCAAAGCTCAAGCAAAACTAAAATGTTCCCCTTTCTTCAAGCCTATCAGTTTGACAAAGTGCTTCCCTATTTTTTATCTTCACCAAGAAGATTCATGAATTTTTAACACAGTTAATGCATGGCACTGAACAGAGTTATTGGCTGAGACAAACCACTTTGATTGCCACTACTACTTGTCTGAACGTGAGAGCACACATATAAAACACGACTGTGATGGTTCTGTCATGTTAACAACCTTGTTTCAGCTAAGAGCAGCACTAAAACACCCCTGTTTCAAATTTGAGCCATTCTTGGATGGATTAAGTAAGAACTATTCTTCCTCCTACATGCTTGATTAAGTCTTCACTGGTGCAAACTGAAGATAGGATGGGCATTACTGGGTAATGACACATGACATGAAGAAAGGCTACCTCAACATTACTGAGTGGTCTTGTCTTCAGGAGACAGAAAATACTTTATAAAATTTTCTAATTCTACAAGGAGAACAGGGTAACATTTAGTAGTAGATGTGATTCTGCCTTGCAATTTTTGCATTTTTTTTCTCTAAGGGGATGACATGCAGAAAACCACCCCACAGTAACATAGTATGACCTCGCTACTGAGGTTTTTTTGTTGGTTGAATAAAGAAAAATCATAACCTTTTCTTCTCTTTCCTCTGTCATAACACTAAGACAAATTCAGGCTCTGAGCCTCACAACCTCATGCAGACATATCCAGATTAAAAGAGAGTATTCAGTGAGTAGTTCGGGACTGAACACACGAATAACAATTGCCACAGATGAAATAGTATTGAAAGATTTCTAGGCAGAAGGCTGAGTTTTCAAATATGTAACAGTTTTCAGTGATCCCATTCACTGGCATCAGGTGGGGTGGGATATTGAAAAGCGTGTAGAAGTTGGTCCACGGTCTCCAAGCTATCCTAAAATCTCATCTCACCCTAACATGAAACTGGAGAGAGTCCTTCAAAGCCTTGTGTTGCTGCTTACCTATGTCCTGCTTCAGGCTGCAGACGCTGCTAAGCCCACAGGAGTGCAGTACCAGGGATCTGCCCACATTCACAGCAGCAGCACCAGCAGCAGCAGCAGGGCTGTGGCTGCACAATTAGGTCAGCCACAAGTGACAAAGGCTTTCTTGCAGAGGGGGACGTCTGTTTGCAAGAATGTTGCCCGTGATCATCAAGAGGGAAAGAGGAGAGTAGCTCATGAGTAAAGAATGTGAGCTTCTTGTTTAACACAAAAGAGATCTTGTTGCTTTAATCTCGATAGCCTGTAAGTAATTAGGAAAACACTGAACTCTGAGTTTAGAGGAGTCATATCTGCACTCGTGCAGTGTGATATTGCATATATGTACACATTACTCATCCAGAACGCCAATGATGGGGAGACAGATAAACCTCACCTGGTTTAAATGCAAATCAGCACTTTTCAGAAATGAAGATTTAATTCAATATGTGAAGACTTCAGTGGGTAAAATACTCACTACTTTGATTACTACTATGAAAATAACCACCACTGAATTTGAATTAGTTTAGAATTGGACCTAAGTGTTCAAAAGATGCCTACCCCACCTGGACTTACAAAATCAGTCACCAAAGCCCAAGTCATCACTCCTTCTGAGTCCAATGGATGTAAATCCTAACTGTTCAGGAAGTGCTGCGACCTTCTGGTTTTACAGCACTGCTGATGTTTTGTTATTACATTCAATAAAGGACAGACAGAAGATCTAACAGTTGATTCAACCCTTACATGATAAGTAACCTGAACTTCACAATCTTTTCAGAGATGCATTATTTCTCTAACTCATTTAATTCTTGCTAAGAGGTTGGTAATTGTTTTACAATTTCTTTTATAATTTCTTCCATTGCCAAAGAAATTTCTTTTCATGGACTAAAATTGCTTTGCTATAGTTCAAGTGGTCTATCATAATGAAGCTGTAAAAAATTACCACAAACTTCATGATGTTAAAGAATATTAATTCTTATAATGATCCCCAAATTAGAACATAATTCTTTCGCTGACAGTGCTTAAAACTTCTAGCAAGAGAAAGAAACATTGCTCTAATTATTTGTCCTGGCAGTAAAAAGTTGAGACCATCAAAAAAGATGTGCATTTTTTTACATGTGCTTGGAAGAGGGCTGATGAAAGAAACATGAAAATAAAACATTTGTTATGGCAATTATTTACAGAGAGTATGAAAATGGAAAACACAGGATTAGCTTAAGGGTTTTCACACAGGTACAATGTGTTCTTGTTATATTTTACTCATTTTGCTCACAGATCAGAAAACTGTATGTAGAGATGAGTGTTAAAGATCACCCAGTGAGCATTAAAGCAGTAGACAGAATGGATGGTCTTCTCCCTATCATAATGAAAATTATATTAAATCAGCATGCTTCTAAGCACATTTGAACGTACATGCATACTTTCTTCTAAAAAAAAATCAAAGAAACAAAGAGAAAATAAATGACCATTGCTATACTTTAACAATAGTATTAGAGGAGTGGGATCAACTCCAAGGCACTCCTCTCCCAACTTCTGGAACTGCCTTGCAGAAATTCATAAGGAGGCCAGGAAATACT